TCGTTAGCCCGTGTTGATTGTATTGTATTGTATTGTATTGTGGCTAGATTCGAGACGTTTGGAGGCCGATTTGCGAGGCAAAGGCGTATTGGAGTAGGGATTTTGCTCGGATTGAGGTAAGTAACTGTTCTAAATCTGGTTCTGAGGGTATGAAACCCCGAATTTTTTGTTATGTGATTGGTTTGGATGTGACACATATGTTAGGCGACGGGCGTGTGGGCATGTTTTGTAGGAATTGGGCTGATTTTTATGACTTCTGAGAGCCCAAGAGACTAGAGAGGTTAGAGACTGAGTTAGGGCCTGAGTGCCGAGCTATGAACGGTATGTATATATATAGATCGGGTTGCACACTACAATGAACCTCAAGGCTGTATATATGTGGATCGGTTGCACGCCGCAACGAGCCTTAGGGCTGTATATATGTGGATCGGGTTGCACGCTGCAACGAGCCTTATGGGTATATATATATTGATGGGATCAGACTGCACGCCGCAACGATATAGTGCTTGGGGTGAAGGAGCTCCCCCGTAGTCTGTACACCCCCAGTGAGCGCAGGTACCTATTGAGTACGCGTGATGAGTGTTGAGCTATTGAGAAAGATTGAGTGACTGTTGCTCTGAGAGGATGCTTTTGATTTCCTTATTGATGCACTTAACTGCCATATATCACTGCTTTGGAATTTCTTAGAGATATTACATCTGGTTTTACTTGAACTTGACATGAATAAATTGATTTGACTTAAATTGTCGGATTTGAAAGCATGCCTACTTTCTTTTGGTGAGATTACTGAAATTGAACTATAACTGCGTAGCTCGTCACTATCTTCAGTTCTTTATTTAGTCTTGTTACTTATTGAGTTAGTTGTACTCACGCTACACCCTGCACTTCGTATGCAAATCCAGGTATTTCTTGATATGGTGGTGTTGATATTTCGCACAGCTGATCGTTGGAGACTTCGAGGTAGTTGTCCGACGTTCGCAACCCTTGTTTCTCCTTCCTTATCTTTTCTTTTACTGTATTTAAATCCAAACTTTCATACACATTACTTTCTAGACTAGTGATGTATATATGCTCATGAGCTCGGTGACACCCCGATTGGGAGTTTTCCGCATTTGTGTTTTGGGTTTTACCCCGTTTATGAGAATTTTGGTCATTTAAAACTACTTTGACTCATTTTGTTAACTGTTAGAAAATATTTTAGAAATGTCAGCTTGCCTAGTACCACGTTAGGCGCCATCACGACAAGCTAGGGTTTTGGGTCGTGATAATAGTATATGTCAGTGCATTCATTATTTACAACAATAACCCAGTATAATCACACTTAGTGGAGTCTGGGGAAGGTAGTGTGTACGCAGACCTTACCCTTACCCTAGGGTAGAGAGGCTGTTTCCAAATAGATCCCCGACATCCTTCCCTCCAAGAACTTCCCACCTTGCTCTTGGGGAGACTCGTACTCACAACCTCTTGGTTTGAAGTGGAGGTTGCTTACCATCAGAGCAACCCCTCATTATTTGTGTTACAAATTAAAATGTTAATGAATTATATTTATATTATTTAGATAGTAAATTTTAAGGTGATTCAAAAGTTTGACCATGTTTGACCTATGAACTGACCGACATTGATCGATTATTTTTCAGAAATTACAGCTATCGACCAAAGTTGGTCGGTAATATCTTCTCCTGTAATAACCGACCGACTTTAGTCTATAAATTCAACTATAAATTTTATATAATATTTTCAATAATAATATAATTATTAAAATTTAAAAATTTGGGTCCTCATTACCGACCAATGTTGGTCGGTAATGAAAAAAGTGTTTTGACTAAGCAAGTCTGACCATTACAGTCAAATGTTTGACCAATATATAGATCGATTTTGGTCGGTATTTAATTTAAAAAAAATATAAAATATTTTTTTGATAGTTTCCGTCCGCTTTGGACGGGGTTTGGTCGCTTTTTTTGACCGACTAACGTTGGTCTGTATGTCTCGGTCGGATTTTCCCGGATTTCTAGTAATGCCTTCACTAATCTGTTCTTCGCTAATTAATCGAACGGCAGGCATGAGATTAAAGGAATAAAAGATATTATTCTTGTGTCGTTATGTTTTAACTGTTTAGATAGAAATCTCTCCATTTTCAATATTGAGAAGTACACAATCCGTTGTAGTCTAGGTGGTTAGGATACTCGGCTCCTTATCCGAGAGACTCAGGTTAAAGTCCCGGCAACAGAAAACAGCCTCTCTATCTTTTCGAAGGAGGTTTGTTTCAGCAGAAACACTGAATTCCTCGAGCATGTCTAATGTATATAATATCTTATACTATTGCTAATGAAGTGTTGGTTGGCGAAAAATTGGACGTTAAAGAAATAATAATAAAAAGTTGGTCGTTTAACTTCCTCGAATATACATGGCTGCTCATGTAGATAAATAATTTTGCTGTTACTTTCCAATGAAGTCTTGATCCTTTTTTCTGACACCAATCAAGTCTTGTTTTCACTCTCATACAAGTTGTATCAACATTTTTCAAAAAGATATCATTAGCACAAGGTCCACACGACTGATCCACCGCCAAATGATTGAATAACAATGAAGATAAACTTTTTCTTTTCATTTTGTACCTAAATTTACTTAGAAACTTTCGGAACATAAACCTTCATTGTAACATAAACAAAAAAGATTGTAATTACTGCATTACAAATTTTACATAGCTAATGTACTAAGTTTCCGCTACGTGAGGAGTTTGGGAAAGACCAAATCATAAGGATATATTATATGCAGTCTTACCCTGTATTTTTGCAAACGACTATTTTCACTACTTGAACCCGTAACCTCTTGATCACATGACAGTAACTTTATCAGTTACGCCAAGGCTTCCCTTCAAACCAAACGACTTTAATAGTACTGATATATTATATGGGCTCTATCCTAAAATGGGGCAAAGTAGGGTAAATTGAAGGGTCTTTTAAAATTAGCCAAAGAACTACGTTCTTCCTCTAAAAACTTGTTCAAACGGATCGGATAACGAGTTCATCATAACTGACTAGCCTAGACTCGGCGGCGTAAGCTGCCAAACAGAAGTGGAAATGAGTGGGCGACCATGCCAACTCAACGTAAGACATCCATCATTCTGTTCCACTCGATATCCATCCCTATTTTGAAACAAGGCCAAAATCATGGTTGCTTGCAGGGACGTGCTTTTACCTAGCTGAACCGGGTTGAACCCAGCTGAGTTCATCTTCACTCGCCATTCACTCAGCGTCGTCTCAACTCGCTCAGTTCCTTCGCAAGCCACCATGTTATTGATTTGCTGACCTAGGTACTCATGCACCAACCTTGAGTCACCACTGTTTTGCTGATTACTCGACTCTTAGTTCTCCAACGAGTCAAACATTTTTGAATAGAAAGACCATGCGTCATTAAACTTATCCATAAAGACACTTCGATTTGCTTCTTCTTCGATTATGGTCACAATCTTCGGATGCATTTCTTTGATTGAATTCAGCACCTTCTCGACTTCGCCTGGTGTATACAGCAGATGGTGAAACTCGAAAATAGAGTTCACAGCCACTTCTTCAAAATTATTAGGCCTAATATCCAAAATGGCAGTATCAACATCGGCTAAAGACTCGACCACGATCCCACGGAATTCAAATTCTACGCCAGATTTATCGGCAAACTCGGCGAGCTTCCACTTGAGTTGCCGTAAGGCATTGGTGTTATCGGGTGAGCCAATTATATTCCAGTGAGCCGAATAGCCATTGCGGACCTTGGTTATGTTGCGGAAACCAAATGTATATAGTGTGAATAAGTCACAACTACTATACCAAAAATTATGGCAGCCACCAAATANTTGTGACCAACTTATTGAAACTGATGATATGTGCATTCATCGTGGTACCAGGAACATAGGTGAAGTGAAACAGTCTCTTCTTCATGTACAATTTATTTTGACTATTTTTCTTCAAAAATTTATCCTCCAGTG